AGTATCTGAGTTTTCTTTTTTGAAACTAAAATTTAGATAATGACACACAAGAGAATATTGTTACGCCTGCACGTAAACACGTCAACTTGATATATTTGAACTATTACGAGTTTACCTAGTCGGAAAACGAGAGCGAGGATCGAGGATCTGGCGACACGACATGCTACTCAAATCCGATTATCCCAACCCCCCATATTGAGTAAAAAATAAGAAGACTTGAATGTGAAGTAGAACCTGTATTCTACAAGCATCCAGAAAGTACAAAGTTCGAATCCAGAAGAGAATCAGGATCCCAGACTAGGAATCCGGGACCGAGCCCTGTTCCTGGTCCTGGTCGTGGTCATAAAACGTTTCAGATAATCCGTATTTTTACATTTTTGTCGAGTAGGAAACAGCATCGAATTCTGTGACATTGACAGTCCGGATGAGCTATAAGAGACAACATTGAAGTATTTGACTTTGACAATTAAAACAACTATAATTTTGACCAATAGGATTTGACCAACAATTCTCTTAGGATATTGGATGAATATCCTAACAAATATAAGTGTGGTTTTTTATGCACGACGATTTATTAGCTGATTGTATATACATTTCAGTTGTTGGTACTGGGAATTGTAGCTTAAGGTTACTGGGTTATTAAGTCCCAATTTGATTACCAAACTCTGAAATACATGGATATATCCATCTGATAGGTTTACAATGATCAGTGGTTAAAAGTATTATATTCTGACGATCTTGGTTAGACTATCAGGTAATCATAAAACACCGTGTAGTTAGTTATAAAAACAGCTGAAAAACCATAAAATTTCAGTGGAATACTGCTTTTGATTTGAATAATCCACTCACGAATATTGAATTATTCCGTTTTAGTGCAACCAAAAAGTTGTTTACATAGTCGGTCTGGTGTTGTGACTTAGGATTATCCAACCCGCAGGAGTTTTCGTCACTACTTAGAACCATCCATAATGGTTAGGTCAGTTAATTACAACGCAGAAATTTGTACGTAAGTACGTCAGTTCATGTTACCATACTACATTAGCACAGAGATGTAATTGTCAATTCCAAATCCAATAGTGGTAGCGATGGTAAAAAGATTAGCACTAATGGAGTAGATTAGGATTAGAAGATATTATTCAAGAAGTATGATTCAGTGAAATAAGTTTAGAAAGACGAAGGTAGAGGTGTTGACAAATCCAGAAGATTAACATTTGAGAGAATACAAGGAATGGATATATTTGCGCCATTGCAAACGATTTTCACCCATATCACTCAGAGTCTCTAACCATCGATTACCATCATCTCGCGGACCCCAACCAGGTAGTCCACACTTACCAACAAGACTCAGTCCACTTTTGTTTGTGACTTCATAGATTTGTGCTATGTTTTGGTCTGGCCGCCCCTAGCTTTCTCTCAACCTCTACCCCTACACCACAAAAAATAGATCGTCGAGGCAGTCGGTAGTTGAGTATTCGTAACACATGTCCCAACCACCTCAACTGATGAAGTTTCCATACTTCATCTATTGATTTGCTATCCTTACCTAGTACTCGTTTCCATAATGTTTAAAGCATAGTCTTGAGTATTAAATCTGAAGTTCTAAGTTTTCTAAGATTTCGAAGTCAGTCTTTATCACTACTAACTGACTTGTCAACCTTTTTTTAACTAATTAAAGAGACTTACATTGGAAATTTTGAGCGAAACTTAGAAAAAGCTGATTATACTCATCTGAACCAAACATTAATCACAACGCATTGACTCACAACAAATACCTTTACATACAATTTGTTTTTAAGAGCAGTTATGCTCTGGTACATTCATTTATCTATTTCATCGTAGAAATTTATATTGATTCTAGCAATGATTAATTGATGATTTCAATGCGTAAAAACACTAATCTCCATAACTCTAATTTAAAAATATCGTAAAATGTGCTCACTAGCGACTAGCTTCATGAGGACATTTCCGGAGTTCTAGTGAGATGTGACCAGTGGAGTTCAACCCTGTCGGTTGTAGGCAGTAACTACCCGAAGACAAATGGTTGAGGTCGCGCGAAATCTCTAGATTGATCAGAGTTAGACACTGACACTGTTGGATGTCGACCCAGTGGTTCAGAGGTTAGGCGTTCTAGCACAAGACCTAAGGTCATAGGTTCGAATCCTGCGAGGTGCAGGAGTCGTGGATGAGCACTGCTGAAGAGTCCTACAGCAAGACGAAACGGCTGTCCAGTACTTCCAACCTTCTATTGGTCACCTAACAATACTTGATTGATGATTTCAATGTGTGGATTATCATTATTTGTATTTAAAAATTTCTTTTTTCTTTTACAGAGCCCAATTTACGTTTACTATTGAAAGTGACTTTTTTAAATCCAACTGGTCTAGCTGAAGTCGGTATTGATGGAGGTGGTTTAACTAGAGAATTTCTCACTGAATTAATTCGTACTGGTTTTAATCCAACTAGAGGATTTTTTATTTATGCATCAGATCAAACTACTTTATATCCAAATCCACAAGCAGCTGCAATCACATCGGATTATTTGAAACATTATTATTTTTTGGGTAGAATTTTGGCGAAGGTGAGTTTTTTTTTGATGATTGGAATTTTGACTTGATTATTATTTTTGTTTTGGTTAAATTTAGGAACCTGCAAGCAATTGGATCATCGTAGTATTGTACTTACTACTCAACAGTGCATATTCATAATCCATGACATCAGGAAATCGTAAACTCAGACCTTTTGGTTGTGCGCGTGTCAGTCAGTCAGTCAGTCAGCTACAACGTTGAATGTCATACTTGCGTACATCAGTTGAAGTTGCCATACCATATTAGCTCAGACAGACGCAATTGTCATTTCAAATCCCATAGTAGTAGAGATAGTAGTAGTATTAGCACGAATGGAAAAGAGTAAGGATCGAAGATATGATTCGAGAAGTATATCCTAAATTTAAGGGGAGAAAAAAACGGTCAAGAGGAATTCAGAAGACTAGAATTTGAGAGAAGACAAAGAATGGATTTTGAGCCATGTTATTGAGAGTCTCTACCATCGGTTACTATTCTTTCTTGGACCCGAACCAGGTAGTCTACGCTTACCAATATGGCTCAGTCTAGTTGTCAGTGACTTGATGGGCTTGTGTCATGATTTGGTCTGTTCGTCTCTAGGATTTCTCCAAGCCTACTACCTACATCAGACAATATTGCTTGTCAAATTGGTCGCTCGTTTGACATGCGTAACACATGTCACAACTACCTCGCGTGCATGTTTGTTTAATGAAAGAGATTTGTTAAGAATGTTTTATATACATTGTTGAAATCACGAAATGATCTTGCTTAGACCATCATCATTAAAAACCAGGAAGCACCTGATGGTTGTTAATAACAATGTACTCATTAGTGACTAACTTCAACATGACTATTCCTGGAGTTCTTTCTAATAAGATGCTATGATCTTAGACATGGACATGATTGGATATTGACTTACTAGTGATCTAGAGGTCAAATATTGTTGTATGAGATGGAAGTTGGTGGATCCAATTCTCCTCGATGTCGCCATTTAGATCATATGTTATTATAACGCTATCACACATCGTGAATTCATTGCCAACAATGAGACTAAGATAGTAAAAATATCAAATTGATCAGTTTATGATATTGTGTTGTGGTATAAAAGAAATTTGAGGAATGGTAGCTGGTATCCATCCTTTTATTACTCCTTGGCCAAAGTCTGCGTAATGGTGTTACTCAATTGATTGATACGCTATGAGACATCTTAAAATAACAAGAAGCCAGTAGCTGTCTCGTGTGATTTTATTGAATTGGATTATTTAACTGAACTTACTTACTAACATACACCTGTTACCCCCAATGGAGCATAGGCCGCCAACCAGTTTTCTCCAAACAACTCTGTCCTGGGCTTGCCTCTCCAGTTCTGTCCAATATTTGTTCATTACTGTCATATCTCCCACTATTTCTCGGCGTAGTGTGTTCCTTGACCTTCCTCCTTTCCTTTTACCTTGAGGGTCCATATGAGGGCTCGTCTTGTGACGCAGTTGGGTGCTTTCGCAGTGTGTGTCCAATCCACTCTCACCGCTTTTTCCTGATTTCCCCCAGCGATGGAATCTAGTTTGTTCTCTCCCACAGTAGGTTGTTACTGATGGTGTCTGGCCAACGAATCCGAAGTATTTTGCGTAGACACTTGTATCTTCTGAACGATGGATTTGGTAGTTCTCAAGTTTCCGCTCCACACAGTAGAACTGTCTTGATATTTGTATTGAAAATTATTTGACTGAAACAATCCCTTTATTTGATTGTATTATTTAACTGACTTGTATATTGGTATTGGAAGTCAATCCCTAAACCCATTGGCTCATAAGTCTCATCCACAAAGCACACTGGATAAAAACGTTTGGAGATGTAGTCTCATGATAGCAGGTTACCAGCCATAAGTTCATACTCCATTCGTTCCGTCAGCATATGCAGCATTGGTTTGGAATGTAGGTTTTCCAAATCAATTGAAGCACTGTATATAGTGTCTTTTCATCCTCTCGTTTCGGCAAACAAAATACCCTCTCTACACAAGAAGGCAATACTTCTTGGCCTTATATCAACAGGGGTTCTATAATGTACCATTTTTTCTCTCTGCACTATTTTGTTGTCAAGAAAAATGCTCATATTCATTTATATCTATCTATCTATCTATCTGCCTAATTATTGCAGGTCATTTATGAAGGTATACTTGTTGAATTACAATTTGCTTATTTCTTTTTGGCAAAAATTGTTAGTCAAAGTACAGGTGGTAGTGTTGGTTTTGATTATTTACAATCTCTGGATCCTCAATTGTATAAGTAAGTAATTGTTCTTGTTGTTGTTATTATTATTAGTTTTTGTTAATAAATATAAAATTATTGAATTTACACTGAAATTATAGGATATACTCAAATATTATGATACGAAATTTGGTGATTGTTTGTGTCAGTAAGTCAGTCAGATGCAATGTAGAACTTCGTACGTAAGTACGTCAGTTTTATGTTGTCATACCATATTAGCACGGAGACGTAACTGTCAATTCAAATCCTATACGGGTAGAGATAGTAGGAATACTACTGGTAATAGAGAGGATTAGGGTTCGAAGATATTATTCAAGAAGTGTAATTCAGTGAGATAGGTTTAGAAAGACAAAAGTAGAGATGTTGAAGAATCCAGAAGATTAGGATTTGAGAGAAAACAAAGAATAAATGCACCGGCGCCATTGCAAACTGTTTTGAGCCATGTCATTCAGGGTCTCTAACCATCGATTATTATCATCTCGCGGACCCCAACCAGGTAGTCGACAACTACCGACATGACTCAGTCCACTTGTCAGTGACTTCATGGATTTCTGCCATGTTTTGGTTTGACCGCCCCTAGCTTTCGACCAACCAACTCCTACACCACAAAATATATCGGGTCGAGGCAGTCGGTGGTTAGGCCTACGTAACACATGTCCCAACCACCTCATCTGATGAAGTTTCAATACTTCATCTATTGATTTGCCATTCTTTCGTAGTACTCGTTTCCTAACGACAGCATTACTTACTCGATTGTCCCAGGATGCACGAGCAGTGCTTCTAAGACATCTGTGATCGAATAGTAGAATATCTTCTACTCTTACCGGCAATATTTCGGATCCATGTAGTAGAACGGAGCGAACTGTACTGCTGTCACACCTCTCTGCAGTCAGCAGTATGACTTCGCCTTCAGACCTTGATTAGCTGCTTTTAGTTTCATCGTTCTCCAATCGACCTGCCTGGCATGGTGGAACCTTCAGGAACATATGTTCCAGCCAATATAGCTCGGTTGGGTCATCACGATGGGCAAGCCCGACCACCACGTCAAGGTAGCAGCTACGGTCGGGTAGTCAGTCAGCTGCAACATAAAACTTGGTATGTACGTACATCAGTTGCTATACTACATTAGCACAGAAAGATTGGATTGTCAATTCAACTCCCATAGTAGTAGTGGTAATAACGATATTAGCATATGTGTATGTTCTAGAACCTAAGAGACTTAAACATGTGGTCTATACATCTACGTCCAGTTCTGAAACCAAACTGTTTTACTCAGGTTTGCTCTTCAGAGCTCCAGTTAGGTGTTTAAGTTTCCTTGTTGTTAATATATTAGTTAAACTGGTTTCTCTGTGATTTTCACAAGGGGAATTTTTCCCTATCTTATAGACCGAACACTGCTACAATCGAATACTAGAAGCCTGTAAATATCCTCTACCCTTAGTGACCATGTTTCACAACCATATTGTAGGACAGAGCGAATTTCTGCACAGTAAACTCATCCTTTGGTATGCAAACGGATATCTCGCTTAAGCTATAATTGACGCAAGTTAACAAAAGCCAGTTGAGCCTTCTCTATTCGTGCCGAGATTTCGTCAATAACCAGGTCATGGAGACCGATGAACTCCCGAGATAAGTGAAGCGGTCAACACGCTCAACTACTTCGCTCACTAGTTCTGATGCCGATGCAAGTAACATTTTGCATCCCGAACGTGCTTGCATTGTTGCTTAGGGTGGTCGGAAGTCTATGCACTTCTTCAGCGTCTTCACCAAACAAATGAATCTCCTGGTAGATGAACTCCTGAAACGTACGATGATGAAAGTTTCGTCTCAAAATGCATTTCATTGACAAAGTTAAATAGGAATGAAGAAAGTGGATAGTCCTAACGAACACTACTTGAAGTAATCATTTTGGATGACGATTCGCCATAAGCTCCGACTCCATTAGTAGTGTTTGGGTATAGAGCTTATACAAGGTCAATGTACGTCTTTGGTACACCTCTTAGCAGACCGTACCATAGAACTTCACAATCAACAGAGTCGAACGCCACCTTTAGGTCGAGCAACGTAACAATTATCGGAATTCGGAAAGTGCATCTATTTTTTAGGGACGCTCAACACTTGGTCAAAATTAATGTCGTATAAATCTATTCATTGAATCTATTTATTTGTCAGTATAGAATTATACAAATTCTTATGTTTTATTGAAATCGTGAACTGATCAATGTTAGATCACTGTTTAACTTTCGTTCTGGTATCGTAGGAGTCCCTTATTAGTATGGCTGATGCTAATCGCAATGTGGGTTCTAACTGGTATGCAGCAGTGTTGCCTAAAAGTTACTTTCAGAGAAAATAGTATAGTGCAATCAAAGTTTTTTGATCTAGGATAAGACAGTCAACCACTCGCTTGTATTGCAAATGGCTGTCTAAAGATTAGAGGTATATGTGTTGTTAGTAAACTATTTCTTCTCTATATACACTACTATTTCATCTGATCTTGATATCTTTATTTACACTACACTAGGATGAAACGTCCATCTAGTGTTTTCAGATTTTCCATACTAGTTTAACATTGATCAGTTCATTATTCAATTTTTTTAATTGTTTAAGGTGTTATTATGTGTTTTTTCTATCGCTTTCTCTCTCTCTCTCTCTCGTACATTTTCATTATTTCTTTTTTTCTATTTAATTTTATTCTACAATAGACAATTATTATTTTTAAAATATTATGAAGGAAATGTACGTGATTTATCATTAGATTTTACAGTAGTTCAATCAATTTTTGATCAACCTGAAACGATTGAATTAAAACCTGGCGGTAAACATATTCCAGTTACAGAAGAGAATCGTGTAGAATATGTACATTTAATGGCAAATTATAAATTAAATATAATGGTAAATGATTTTGTTATGTTACTTATCAACAGTTTTTTAATTGAATTGAGTTGAAAAGATTGGGTTTTTTTCATGTTCGAATATATTACGAGCCAATCAGAAATGGCCAAATGTGTGAGGGTCATTATAATGACCTTCAGAATAAATGTATATTATTCGTCCAGATTTGGGTTTATTCTCTAAGGCAAAGGGATGGTTATATGGTATAAATGAGTATTTATTTAAATATTATTCAGTGTCTAAATAGATTTCCCTTTTCATTCTTGCATAGTCATTCAAGTAGCCAGTCTAAAAGAGGTTAGTGCTTAGCATGTTTAAATTTGGGACATTGCACATCGTAACATTTTCAATCTTTGGTGAATGAGTAGTGTGTGCATCTACTACCCCTACTCGCAGGAGTCGAACCGAGGACTTTCATTCTGACGCGCGAAGGATAAACCTGTAGACTACTGAGCCCGGGTGTACGAGCACTGCTGATGAGTCCTATATTATAGGACGAAACGGCTGTCCAGTGCTTCTAAGTTTCTAGTGTTGATCTGACAATGATCGATTCATAATTTCAATGAAACACATTATTCTGTTTTTCAGCATTCATACATTAATGTTGTTGTGTTTTTCCTTCCAACATTAAGATTTATCCACAGGTACGAGCTTTCACAGCTGGATTAAATGATGTTATACCGATTGATTGGTTGCGTCTTTTCGATGCAGAAGGTTTACAAACTCTTATATCTGGTGCAGATATGGTGATTGATGTGGATGATTTAAAAAAGCATACATACTATTTTGGAAGTAGGTTTTTTCTTGTGTAATTAAAGTGTTTGTTTTTTGTTTGTGCAATGGTTGGTCGGTTGTTTGAAATGCTGTAGGAACACGATGGTTTCACACCAAAGTCAACACTGCCACAGAGAGAAAGAGAGAGTGAGAAAGAGGAAGAGTAATAGTCGCAATAAGAAACATTATACTATCAATGATAGTAGGTCAGTCAATCAGCCGCAACCTAGAACTTCGTACTTATGTACATTAGAGTTCAGGTTGCCTTACCACATTACCATACACAGAAGTGGGCTGGAATCGTTAACGCAAATACCACAGTAGTAGAGGTAGTAAAAGTATTAGCAGTGATCGGAGAGATTAGAGATCGAAGATACAGATAATAGGAAAGACCAAACATTGAGAATATACTTTACGATAGGATGAAGAAGGAAGTAACACGAGAGTATACAGAACAAATGTGCCAGCCTCGCCGATCTCTCTCTCTTTCTCTTACTATGACTAAGATATCAAACTGTGTATTACCAGTGATCTTCAAACATTGATTAAAACAATAGTTTAAACTTACATGATTTGATGTATTCAAGTAAAATTATTCTTTGAATAGAAAAGTTCTACCTGAAGTTTGTGCTGATGGTGATGCTTTTGTTCAGACGAACAATTAAAAACTCTACAACCAAGTCATCCATCTCAGTGACACGAAACTCTATCATGAGGTTTCTTACTATCTCATTTTAAAGTGAAGTATATCACTCATTTGCGATCTTCGGACACATTATGTGGAGTTGATCAGCTCAGTTAAGATCGTTCCAGAGAGTATGAATGAATTGTCGGATCATGATTGTTTTTTTTATGTGCATACGTGTAACAGTCTTTGTTGCTGTTGCTTATAGTCTGTCAGTCAGTCAGTCAGCTACAATGTAGAACATCGTACATACAAACATCAGTTCAAGTTGTCATACCACAAAAGCTTAGTGGAAGAAGCTGGCGCAAACCATGCAGCCAGCTTATTGCGGGATTCAAGATTTTAATCCTTTCTAAGATGTTTGAATCTTCATGAATGTAATTGATCTGACTTATTTTGGCCCATAGTACACTCTGCCTGGATAGTCTTGATATATTAATCAAGTCACAATTATTTTAAAGTAGAGTTTTGATTTGAAGTGAATTGTACTAGAGTTTGAGTCCTCGTGTGCGAACCCTAGTTTGCAGTTATATCCAGCTGATGTGTTCTATACGTGTTGGGGCCGTTAGATCCCCAGAACTCGCTTGATAAATGTCTCATTTTAGATTTCGCTTTTGCGAGTATGGGCTGATCGTTTGACCTTGAGATTTCATTTCCCACCAGGAGAAACCTCGGCTGTGATTGGCTACTGTGTATTTTAGTGTGCTATTTTTGTGATTGTCTCAAGGACGTTTCCATGATGTATAAATAAATGAGAGTTGTGTGCTTGATTGCATTGCGCTTGCTGAGTGTTTGTAGATTATACTTCTACGCTTATCAAGACTTCTGTTTGCCGTTTTTGGATCAAGGTAGCCTACCTGGGCGCTGTTTCATTGTCTCGTTCGCGTTTATCGACCAAGGTGATCTCGTAATATTTTCAAGCACACCTAGGGATGAACCTAACATAACGATTGTCTCGCGAACCCGAACCAGATAGTCGACATCTCAATCTATTTGTTAAGGTTTCTTGACTTGTGACGCAGTTGGGTGACTTCCGAAATATGTGTCCCATCCATCTTCAGCAGTATTTCCTAATTTCCTTTTCACCTGGAAGCTGGTTTGTTTCTTTGTCACAATAGTTTGTTGATGAGGATTTCTGTATACAAGTACCTGTACACTTCGAATGGTGGCTTTCGTAGTTCTCCAAGTTTTCGGTTCTACACAACAGAACTGTTTTGATGTTCTATTTTGTAGAAAAGTGTTATTTTGCTATGAAGTTGATAGTTGTTTTAAGTTCCAGATATTTTTCAATTTTAGAAATGCTTTCCTTGTTTTCTCATGTTATGTTTTTTTCCATATCTACATGAAATCTCTCTCCTTATTTATCAATAACTTACATGAGTAGAATATAATTTACTCAGTAATGAAGAAGTATTGGTAATTCACCAATTACAAGATCAGCTGTTTCATTAGTTATGATTTGTTGCGAATTCTCATTTATGTGATGAAATTACACGTAAGATTCGACACTCAAATTTTCATTCCTTTTATTCATCAATAAAAAATTAGTTATATGTGTCTGACCGACAAGATGACCAGATAAAAATACAGATAAGAATGATTAGTTACTTGTCAGTAGTATGATTGTACAACATGAAATAATCTAAGTTTGTCAACAAAATAAAGAAAGAGAGCTGATGAATAAATGCTTGCGGTGAGAGCTGATAGTACTACATTCTATCTATAGCTGTGTACTGCATCAAAATGAAACATCAAACTAATCCTTACAGATTTAATAATGATAAGCTCGTCAAAGTGATAAACACTACTTAAAAATTAAATTATCAGCAACATTCTTTTAAAACAATACCAAAAGATAGATTTGTCCAATTTTTAGAAAACGGAATCATTGAAATTAAAATTACCGGTCAAATTATCATATACTAATGCCCTTGAGTTAACCAATCACGATTAAGAGAATACTTCATGGAATTTTCTCCAAAATAGATAACAAATCCATGAAGTTTTTGTGAACTAGACTGAGCTATGTTATTAGGTGTAGATTACTACTTGATTGGGGTTGGCGAGACATTACCAGTGGTTAGAGACTACTTTGAATGAAATGGCTGAAAATCATTTGCAATGGTACAGATGCATCCATTCTTCGTTTTCTCAAATTCCTGCCTTCTGAATTCCTTATGAACCTTTTTCGCTTTTTAAATTTATTTTACTGGATTATACTTCTTGAATCATATGCTCGATCCCTAATCTTTTCCATTAATGCTAATAATTTTACTATCTTTACTACTATGGGATTTGAATTGACAATTACATATATCTTTGTGCTAATGTGGTATGCCAAGTTCTACATTATAACTGACTAGAGCTGACTGACTTAATATATCATGTCTATAATATAATTACTAATTTTGTACTGATTTTCATCCTTTTCGTTTTGTGACACGAGTTTAGTCTTGTACTAAACTGTCCTTGTTTCAAGTTTCTTTGTTCAAAGGTCACCTCTGTTTCTACTGGTTATCGTTATTACATGTTATAACTCTATATTAGTAAACCCAGATTATATTCCAAATGGCAGGGTTAATTGGAAGTAAGAAGCCGAAGCGAAGCCGCAATAGGAACAACGTTAGTATTTTTATAGTTTTTACATAAGAAGCTTCTAGAATGTTCTCCAAGTATCGACTAGCGCTGATTGGTTAATTCTTACCCAATCAGCACGCAGCTAACGCAGTCATCCTTTAATCCATTTATGTGTTGTATTGAATGAAATTCTTTTTTTTGTTTTTTTTCTCGTTATCATTGTTCTGTTTCTTTGCTTTTTTTTCTCTTATTCACTTTTCTTTTTTCTTTTTTTAGATTCATCAACTTATACAGAAACATTAAATAGTTTTTGGTCTGTATTAAAAAATTTCTCTGAATCAAATAAACGTTTATTTTTAAGATTTGTCACGGCTTGTTCACGTCCACCAATGTTTGGTTTTAGTGAATTACAACCACCATTTTCTATACAAATTACTGAAGAAATTGAACGTTTACCAACAGCTAGTACATGTACTAATTTATTACGTTTACCAAATTTTCGTGATGAAAAATTATTACACGATCGTTTATTGTATGCATTGAATGCGAATGCTGGTTTTGAATATGGTTAAGTGTGCGCATAATCTCTCTCTCTTTCTCTCTGTATCTCGCTGGGTGTGTGTGTGTGTATGTGTATGTGTATATTTATGGCGATGATTATTTTTCTTTCCAGTGATATTTTTTTCTCTTTTGAATCTTATACTACTTATTATTACTACTTGAAGTCTACAAATAAAAAACCGGAGAATTTATTTCCAACGTAAATAAACCACTGTCCTGCTGTAACAACAACAACAACTATTGTATACTTGAGTGATAAACATTTTTCATTATAATCATTGAATTAAAACTACAATACAATAAATATCGCTTTTTTTTTAAATATGTATTTTATTTTTTTCGTGATAGAGTTGTGAAGATTTAAGCAACGATGCAAGCATGTTCGGGATGCGGTTCTCCCAGTCGAAATGCAAAATGTTGCTTCAATATTGGGTTGCATCGGCACCTGAACTAGTGATAGGGAGTGAAGTAGTCGAAACTGTAGACCACTTCACTTATCTGAGGAGTCTCATCAGTGCTGATGGCCTGGTGACTGACGAAATCTCAGCTCGGATACAGAAGGCTCGATTGGCTTTTGCCAACTTGCGTCACTTATTATGGCGTAGACGAGATATCCGTTTGCTGACTAAAGGACGGGTGTACTGCGCAGTGGTTCGCTCCGTCTTACTTTATGGCTGTGAAACATGGCCAGTGAGAGTAGATGACATTCGTAGGTTACTGGTTTTCGATCATAGGTGTCTTCGAAGCATTGCTCGTATATCGTGGGACACCCGAGTGAGCAACGCTGTTATTAGGAAACGGGTGCTAAGTAAGGATGGCAAATCAATAGATGAAGCATTGAAACTTCATCAGTTGAGGTGGCTGGGACATGTTTTACGTACGGTTAACCACCTACTGCCTCGACGAGCTATATTTTGTGGTGTAGAGGTAGGCTGGAAGAAAGTTTTGGGCGGCCATACCAAAACATGCCACAAATCCATGACGTCAATGACAAGTTAACTAGTCATGCTGGTAGATGTAGACGACCTGGTTGGGGTCCGCGAGATGAAAGTCATCTTTAGTTAGAGACCTTGAACGAGATGGCTAAAATCATTTGCAATGGCGCAGGTGCATCCACTCTTTGTGTGCTTTGTAATTCTAACCTTCTGGATTCCACATAATCTCTATATTTCTCCTTCTAAATTTATCTTACTCAATTATACTTCTCGAATAGGGTCGCTAACCCCATGCTCAGCCCTCCTCCTCTGTCCGGGCTCGGATCCGGCAATAATCTCAGAGTCAGTAGTAACATAGGAATGATTAGATCATTCAAGAATCGATAATAATTAATTAGCTGTAGATTGATTCCCGTACTATAATTTTCATCTGCTATGTTGAATGCTGTCCTAGATCTCAAGGTGACACATGTCAACTCCTCCATAAACTCTGGCTATTTGAGCCAGGATGGGAGATAAAGTTTAATTGTCTATCGAATCACATACATAAATACTCATTCATATGTAGATGCATCCACTTCTTGAATAATGATATGCGTTTGTTGTGTAGGACATTTATGATGGTCATCAGTCACTTGGTGTTCTGATTTGGCTACCTCTGATTGCCTCACTGTAGCATTTTTCCAATAGTATGATAGATACTGTTACCATATCTATCACTTACTCCAGCACTGATCTTAATCATTTCATTTGGCTGTACTGATATGACGTAATACCTTGAACGGTTACACATGTATGCCAGTTTCTGCATTGCTTATATATATATATATATATATATATATATATATATATATATATATATATATATATATATATATATATAATAGAATTTCTCATTGTATGACTCGTAGCTTGTCCTGTTGACCTCAATCGCGATTAATTAATCTGAATGTAAGGCCATGAGGAATTTAGAAGATTAGAATTTAAGAAAACACAAGGAATGGATATATCTGCGCTATAGGAAAGGACTTTGAACCATGTCGTTCAAAGTCTCTAGCCATCGGTTATTATCATCTCGCGAACTTCAACCAGATAGTCTACGCCTACTAATATGGCTCAGTTCACTTGTCTGTGACTTCATGTGCCATGTTCTGGTTTGAGTGTCTCGAGCTTTCTTCCAGCCTATCCCTACATCACTAAACATCGCTCGTCGGGGCAATCGGTGGTTGGGCATACGTAACATATGTCTCAACCACCTCAACTAACGAAGATTCACTACTTCATCTATTGATTTGCCAAACTCTTTCCCTAACCCCAGCATTGCTTACTCGACCGTCCCAGGATTATACGAGCGATTCATCGAAGACACTTATGATCTAATACCAGTAACCTGTGAACATTCTCTACCATTAGTGGCTATGTTTCACACCCGTATAGTAGGACAGAGAGAATTTTTGAGCAGTGCACTCATCCTCTGGTTAGCAGACGGATATCTCGCCCAAACCAGTTGAACCTTTAGAATCCGTGCTGAGATTTCGTCAAACACCAACATAGTTTCTTATGCTTATGACAGGCTGAACAATAGAAATATGGCCCGAAATTACAGAGGGGATTAGGCATTTATCATGAGACTTAAGACTGACAGGAAGATATGTAACGAGTGCATCTATGCCATTACGGACAATGCTACGCTTTATCACCGAAAACATCCAGTCACTGATCACGATTAGCATATGGGCCTCAGTCAGGTAGTTTGTATCTGATCATATGCAACAAATCAACAGTTAGTGGTTTCATGGTCTAACGGTGTGTCTTGGTTTGGTCACCCCTAGCTTTCGTCCAACTTACTCGTACATAAGTAAGCACTCCTATCAAGAAAGAAGGTGGTGAGGAATACGTCGCACATGTCCTAATAACTTCGATTGATGAGGGATTTACAAGATTGACCAATTTGCCAAACAATGATGTTGACTATGACCATTGTTCGGTAACATTGTAATGGTAATAATTATTATGTAACGCATTTATCTATCAGATGTCTATATACCCAGTTTTGAGCTCAGGAGAAAAGATTACTGTTACAATCAACCGTTTTAGGTATGAAAGGGTCAAAATGAATAAATGGTCAGTTCTAAAAGCAGAACTACTTAATTCAAATCTACATGAACGACGTATTCAACAAGGATCAGTGATGTAAAGAATCAATATTTTGTTATCAAAAGCACACATTTACTGATAAGCTCAATTATACTGGATAACCAAGCCAAATTAGTGTTACATGTATAATGACATGAAAGTTATCATGTGATATATTTTAAAAGTTTCTATTATACTAAATTTGCGCTTTGAAGTTATCATTAAACATACGTCTTACCACTTGGGAGATGATTTTATCTCCACCCCTGACCCTATGTATAATCTCTCCAAAAGCCTACATCTAGACAGGGAATACAGTTGATAGGAAGTTGTCTTTGAATGTCTGTAGCCTGTATTACAGTCTTCGGAAATCCATCAATAAACAAGTTATCACTCTGACAACTCAGATAGTCAGTAGTCCTGATATTAATGACTAAATTGTCCGGAACAAGTAAGTCGTTTCAGATAAATATGCTTGCCTGATTCCTGGTATTTACAACTTAAATATATACGGTTAGATGTGGGTACCTATTTTTAATGCAACTTGATTTATTCACATATCACCATAGCTAATATATTTTAAAATGAAGTCTTTCTTCAAAAGCGAATAGATTGTTCGCCTTTCCTCAACCCCAAGGGTCCTAGAAAAACAGTTCTGAAACTAGATCAAGGTACCTAACTAAGGAATAATAAAACCGATCGACTTATGCACGCTCATTGGTAACCATCCCAGATCAGATGTAACAGCACCACTTGAGAAATCGGTACTGTTTCTTATCAGTAGTATTCATAATACGATTATTAAAGTTTTTGAAATTGAAATATTAAATCAATAAACTTGAGTTGTAAATATTTGTTTCTGTCGATTGACCTAGATCTAACTAACTAGTGATGAACTTAGTTTAAACAATAATATACTGACGACCTTGATTGGCCTTTCAACCAATCACGAAATGCTACAATAAATTACGAGTGGAATCACAACTATAATCTGATATAATCAAATCTCACGTGTTGAATTATTACTTGTAGTAGGAGAAAAAGGTTAAGTTTACCTATCTATTAGGAGTGGGGTTAGTAATGTTGGGGTTTTCACTGCACAGAGTTTTCGTCATCAACTGAGATCGGCTGTTATGTAAAAAGTCTAGGGCTAGGTATTGACGATAGATTTAAAGTTCTGAGTTTGGTTTTTCAAATTTGTGTTTGAAGTTTCCATTACCAATTGACACATCACCTATGATGTAGTGCTTTGTTAGCCTTGTGTTTTAAAAAACCTTAAGAGACTTATAGTTGAGTTTTAGAGTAAGAGTCAGAAGGGGTTCTAGATTCGCTGAATACTCTTGACTGTGCATTTACCCACAATCTGCAGTAAGAGCAGTTATGTTTTTATAAATTAGTTTAAGCACCAACTCACATTCACATTTCGATTTCATCATAGAAATTTCTATTGATTTTATAGATGAAATACTGTCATCTTTTACATCGTTAATAATAGTATAAAAGTAAGTTATCTATTTCGGGTGAAAGTACTGAGGTATTATCCTAATCATGATTGGTTAACTGAAGGCCATTAGAATATGATAATTTGACCGGTTATTTTATTTTCAATGATTCTGTTTTCTGAAAATTGTACAATGCTATCCTTTGGTATTGTTTTAAAAGAGTGTTGCTGATAATTTTAATTTTCAAGTAGTATTTATCACTCTGATGAGCTTGTCGTTATTAAATCTGTAAGGAATAGTTAGATGTTTCATTTTGATGTAGTACTTTCAGCTCTCACCGCAAGCGTTTAGTCATCAGACTAACAAGCTTAATAGTGAATGATACATATATCTAACTTTAGTCAGTTCTCAGCATGGTTCAATTCTCTTGATTCAGCTCATCCAGCTCATCAACCTGAACGTTCTTCATTAAAACTGGATTGGTTAGTGATTTCTTTT